CTATCTATCAATCTATCTATCTATCTATCTATCTATCTATCTATCTATCTATCTATCTATCTATCTATCTATCTATCTGTCTATCTATCACATATGCATGTTTGTTTGTGTATGCTTTTGTATGCACGCGTGCATTCTAAATTTGCAGTTTCATGAAAAAAGATCGCTTACTTGGTATACTTCATTCTGAAGTTAAAAACACTTTCCATCATTGAGAATTGATTAATTAAGATCAAACTTAAATAGAAATGTCTAGAACATTTTAAAGACTTTGCTTTATTGTAAATTGTCCGTATTTCATGACACAGGAACCTGACCATTGAAGAATGGCCTAAAGAAAAGATAAATTCTAATAATTTATCGATTCAGCTTGTTTTCATACTGTCCTGCATGGATTGTTCTGTTTCCTCTCTTTGCCTGTCTGTTTTAGCATAATCACAATTCTGTGTCTGTCGATAGTACAGTTAACTTTTCGGTCCTTTCGTTAGCTCTTATTTCACGTAGACTGTTCATATCCGAGTAAAACAGGCCTGAATGACATTAAAGTATCTTTCGCGTTGTAAGGTGAATGGGCACTGACGAGTTGACCAAGTTAGTATGATATCATGCCATATCTTATATTTGTATGTCTCTGAGGGTTAGAAACTTTTCCTGCCCAAAAGATTGTTGCTAATCACCCCCCCCCCCCCAACTCCATTCAATTCAGTATCTTTATGTAAATGTTGCTTCGATCCGGCTGTTTTATCCAATAAACAATAGATACAGTGGCTAACTACCATAGTAGATTGTACCTTTGACAGACATATTGTTGGGTAGGTAGAGATAAATGTAGTCCATACCTAGGGTAGAGGATGGATATAGCCACTAATGATAGAATTTGCTATATTTCTATATCCTGATCTTGTAGGGAAAGCCACCTCACAAAAAAAAATAAAATAATCGAAGCTTGTCCAACCGCTCTTGTGCTTTTCTTTGTAGTTTCTAAATTGCTGCCATAAAACTCTCTATTTTTGATGAGTAAAAAAACTGTAACACATGCTTATTTACAGCGACAGTAATTGTAGACGTGATCTTCAGTGAAAAGTAAAGTGTATGATTTGCTTTTGTAACGATGTTGTTGACGCGGAAATCCGAAGAGAGTTCTATCTATCAATCTATCTATCTATCTATCTATCTATCTATCTATCTATCTATCTATCTATCTATCTATCTATCTATCTATCTATCTATCTATCTATCTATCTATCTATCTATCTATATCTATCTATCTATTTATATGTCTGTCTGTCTGTCTGTCTGTCTGTCTGTCTGTCTGTCTGTCTGTCTGTCTGTCTGTCTATCTATCACATATGCATGTTTGTTTGTGTATGCTTTTGTATGCACGCGTGCATTCTAAATTTGCAGTTTCATGAAAAAAGATCGCTTACTTGGTATACTTCATTCTGAAGTTAAAAACACTTTCCATCATTGAGAATTGATTAATTAAGATCAAACTTAAATAGAAATGTCTAGAACATTTTAAAGACTTTGCTTTATTGTAAATTGTCCGTATTTCATGACACAGGAACCTGACCATTGAAGAATGGCCTAAAGAAAAGATAAATTCTAATAATTTATCGATTCAGCTTGTTTTCATACTGTCCTGCATGGATTGTTCTGTTTCCTCTCTTTGCCTGTCTGTTTTAGCATAATCACAATTCTGTGTCTGTCGATAGTACAGTTAACTTTTCGGTCCTTTCGTTAGCTCTTATTTCACGTAGACTGTTCATATCCGAGTAAAACAGGCCTGAATGACATTAAAGTATCTTTCGCGTTGTAAGGTGAATGGGCACTGACGAGTTGACCAAGTTAGTATGATATCATGCCATATCTTATATTTGTATGTCTCTGAGGGTTAGAAACTTTTCCTGCCCAAAAGATTGTTGCTAATCACCCCCCCCCCCCTTCCGAACCCCGAGAAAAATGAAAGTACGGGTATTGAGGAGAAAAACCCTCAAAATGAATCAAATGTCCGGTCCAGAATCGAGAGCGTCAATAAAAAACAAACAAGCATAGGTATAAACTGTACAGGATTTTTGGTGGGAGAAAGGTAACAAATGATAAGAGAAAATAATTATGCTTCATTGATCCTCCTTTGGAAGAAATTAACAGTGTATTTTCACTGACTTCTACGACTCAAAATATATTTACATACACAACCTCATTTCATCATGCCACAATCTCTCTCTCTCTCTCTTCTCTCTCTCTCTCTCTCTCTCTCTCTCTCTCTCTCTCTCTCTCTCTCTCTCTCTTTCTCTGTCCCTCTTTCTCTTTCTCTATCCCCTTCCTTCTCTTAGCCTCTATCTCTCTGTCTCTCTCTTTCTCATCTTTGTCTCTCCCTCTCCCTGGCTCACTTTCACGTTCACTCCCTCTCACACCCACTTATTTCCACCTCCCTCTATACCAACACATAAACGTGTAACTGTTTAGACAAACACCGGTTATATTCATGTCATGAAATATGAGAGTGAACTCGGCTTCCTAGGGCAAACATTATTCTGCCGTACGCTGAGAAAACGCCTTTTTCTTATTCACAGTAGTTTCGAGAAATCACCTATTTTTCTTATAACATTTAAACTATTTTGCACAGCACATCAACGGTTGATCTCGCACCCTGAAGAGAAATGTCATTCATTTCTTGTGCTCAACAGACATTATATTAAAAAAACAAACAAAAAAAAAAAAAAAAAAACAACGAACATCGCTGATTTCTCAAAACTGCCGCGGATAAGAAAAAGGTATTTTGTCAGAGTACGACATTATTCGTTAGCGTGAACCTTAATGTCGCGAAGGATTATGACTTGGCAAACAATGCACGGCTTGCCACTTCGATTTTGAGCCTGGCAAAGCTTTGCTTTACCGCAGCACCAGGGTAGGGGGGGGGGGGCTAACGAACGCCAGGTAGATGTCGTTATAGTAAAAGCAGCCATTACAGCCGTATATAATGATATAGGGGGTGAGTGACGAGGAGATAGAAATAATGATACGTTTAAACAAAAGATTTACGAGAAAATACATTTATAGAAAATCAGGATGAGAAAAGGAGAAGACATAACCCCCTACTCTTCGATCTTCTTGCTCGCTGACCTCATTTTTTCCCAAAAAAAAAGAGACACAATAAAGGGAAGGGGAAATTTAGTCAATAACGTCGATGGGCTAAAAACGTTTATGAACTAAAACGTTTGCGTTCACTGACATTTCGCGTACAGAAGCCGTAATGCATGCTAAATAAGAAATTAAGAATCTGTGCTAGCTTTTCGCCATCTTCTATGTAACAGAGAAATGCTGAAACCCTTAAAACCAGAGCCCCCCCTCCCCCCAAACACCAACGTCAAGAACGCCAACATCAAAACCTCCCCTATAAAGGAGACAGTCAAAAAGGAATGTGACCCAGTAGAACTGAAGACCACAGCTCTCAAGACAATGGACTCCTACCCAAAATGATTCAATTCATATTTACACAGATGAGTCAGCCTTCAAGGGAACTATTAATGCAGGCTTAGGGGTAAAAATAGAATATCCTGACAAAACATGAGAAGAACTATTTGATGCTTGTAGTACTTCTAGTACAAATTACGAGGCAGAGTCCATCACTATTGAAGCAGCAATCCTCCACCTGACCAAAATTTTCATTACATACCCAGACAAAATCAAGGACACTGTTATTTTCACAGATGTAAAATCCGTACTCCAGGCTTTGGAAAACACGATTTTCGAAAGCCCAGTCTGCCTATCTGTGGCTCAAACAATCAACACCTTCATACAAACCTATGCCGTCGACCTGACTTTACAGTGGATACCTGGTCACAGCAGCATCCCAGGAAACGACAGAGCAGACGCCCTTGTCAAGAAGGGTGCATCACAAACGCAACATCAAAACCCAGTACCACAACAGACAGTCAAGAACATCATCAAATGCAACACCAGGGAACAGTGGCTGAATGGATGGACAATGGGCAAAACTGGAAGAACTGTATTTGCACACCAGACTGCTCCCAACACAAAAGATGCACTAAATTCCCTGAGTAGAAGAGAACAAGTCATTATCTTTCGCCGGCGAACACAACACATTCCACAAAGTTCCTACCTAAATAGGATCCACAAGGATAGCCCACCCAACTGCCTGTTGTGAGACTGCCAGGATGAAACAGTATCACACCACCTCTTTACTTGCCCTGCACTTTGCGACCTGCGTAGTACCTACCAACCTGTCTCCCCAGACATCGGAAATACTCTATACAGCGACAAAGCACAACTGATAAAAACCTGTAAAATCTTTGCCATATCAACAGGTCGAAGGGCGAGAACTCAAATGGCCGCTGGATGGAAAGAGTAAAGTAAAAGTAAGTAGTGCTAGCGTTTGATTATTTCTCTCTAAACCAAGGCTCCCAGATAGGAAAATGACTGAATTCGATCACTAAACATTTTGACTGATTGATCACCATACCTCTAAACCTTATCTTACGAACGATCTTCGTTGAGATATAATGAATTTTCTTTTGAGGGCAATTGGTACCAACTCTTCCTATTTTCCCGTCTTCTTTTTAACAGGCTTGAAAGTATCATAACATATCCCACTGTGTAGCAAATTCAAATTGTTGTTTGATAAGAGTCTTTGTCGTTTCGGAATCGACAGCCGTCAACTATGACACTAAGCTTCCTTTTTCTTGTGAAAAACTCCGTTATGACTTTTGACAGTGACAAAGACGCCAAGAATGAAGAATAAGCCGAAATACCACACAACCTTCACGGTGAATCAGTGTGTTGTCAATCATTATTATTGATCTATTGTGTTTTTAAAATATCTCAATGGCTGAGAGAAGCCGCTTTTAGGAAACTTTTTTTTTTTTTTAGCCAGACCCTTATTTTGACACGTCTTGGTGACGACAGCAAAACAAAAGACAGTTTTTAACCTCACGACAGGCATTCCTACACACGTTCACGATAATTTTACGAAATTCTAGATGTGAAAGAGATCTCTCTGTGAGTGAGATCAATGATAGTACATAACAAGATGGGCCACTTCTCTCTTTGAGCCAATTAAAAAAGTGTCCTCAAAATTTGGTGGCGCCCTCTTCACAAAAGCGCACTCTTTGCGAACAGAGTTACCCTACTTGAGTTTTAAAAAATCAAAGTGAAACTAGCAAGTTTTGGGATAAATTTCGGAAGAACGCTTTTTAAAAATGGTTACGCTGACAAAAAACCTCTTCCGGAGGAAAGGGTGATGGTTTTCTTCGTTTAATTTGACTTTAGAATGAAAGGCGAGAGGTCATAAGAATAAAAAAAACAACTAAAACTCCGCACTGAACGTACCCGAACTGCTGATGAACAGCAGTCGATCTGCGCACGCAAAGAGGTGCTATTCCTATTCTTCTTCTGGAAAAACGAAAGAGAGCTTCAAAACAGACTGCAGCGCCATCTGAAGCAAAGAGCATACTTCCTGCGGACACTTTTTTGGCTGAGTGGCCCATCTTGTTATTTACTATCTTTGGTGAGATCGAAGTTCGATACTTCGGCGGAAAGACCAGTCAATACAAAGCGACACCAACTGTTTCTACCTGTAACAAAGAAAAAAGGGAAAAAGACACATTCCAATGTCAAGTATTACACAAGCTTGCTATTCTGACGTGCATCCCTTTAGACCATGAGAGTCCCCTACTACGAATTTAGGATTCATCTCATTTTTATGCGGGAAATGTATTCCATGTCCTCGTAATGAGCATCCTGCCAGTCATGCTATATCTCCATCCCTCCATCCCTCCATTCCTCTATCTCCATCCATCCATCCATCCATCCATCCATCCATCCATCCATCCATCCATCCATCCCTCCATCCATCCATCCAACCATCCGTCCATCCGTCCATCCATCCACCAATTAATGAATCGATTTAATTATTCAATTAACAGTTCATAAACATCCCTTGTTCTTTTCTTCTCTCTGTTTGTAAATGTACGTTTGCAGGAGTGCGCGCGCGAGCGTGTGTGCATTTGTAGTATGTGTGATTGCGTGTGTGTTTGTGCGTGTGTGCATTAGAAGTATGTACATAAGTAAATGCATTTGCTCACACATGAATTTGTATCTTTACGTTTTCCAAGGGCTGTATGGGCCCTTTTCAATGGTTATCTGTGTGTTTTTTTGTCTTACGTACTTGCTATGAAATCGACTCTTGAGATACCCCCCTCCCCTAAAAAAACAACATTGATGTGTATTTTAACATTTCCAACATTGAGGCTTTGTGGAACCTTTAAGCAAATGTCTATGAAGACCGAGTGTCCCCCTTTAGCAAAAAAAATGTTTAAATATCTTTTATCGCACTCTTATTTACAGTGTACTGGCGTCTGTTGTAGAACGTGTAATGGTTAGCCCTTTGTTGTGGCACGCAAAGATGTCCGATCGATTCTCGCGTTGGAAAAGTCATTTTATCGACCAGTTTATCCATCTTTATTTTGGGATGCCGAAACCAAATCAGCCCCTGCTAAATCTGACCAAAAGGGTCAAAGTAACCTGCTCCAAACTGACCTAGATTGTGTCGATGGAGGTCTCGAAACAGTTACAATCAATTGCACGTTTTCTGTCCGCAGGTTCGGAAAGGAAAGTTTCAGGAAGAGGAGATGAGGAGAGCAAATGAAAGCAATGAACACTCTCCTTTCAGCACCCTCGACGAAACAGGGACACCCTCAAGATGACGTATGAGGAGAGGGTATTTATCACGTGCTGTTTTCACTCAACTACCACGGCTGTGAACAGCCTGTCTGTGTGGCATCGTCTGCTGCTCAGAAGACATTTATATCTCCAGAGATCTAGTCTTATGAAGGAAAGGTTGGAGGAACGCAAAACATTAAATGAAATTCAAACTATAGGCTAAAAGAATAGAACATACTTGTTGGTTAAAGTCATGAGACGGAAGTTAACGGATTTTCGGGCTTTTCACGAATGTTTTCTATTTGGAAATTGCTAAGAAACAAAGAATTATGTACCCTAAAGTTGCCTCGGAATGACAAATGCTACACAGAGCAGATATAGATCTGAGATCTTCAACGAGGATCTTAACTTACCAGATGACGAGGAGTTGGCCCAACGCGAGGAAGAAGCAGTCATGACTGTGGCTTGCACGCCGTCTGAGAGCCCGGTCCAGGGACATCCGCTGTCCGACTCGAGGCTCCAGCAGCTAGTAGAAGATCTTGCAGACGAAGCTGAACAACAAGCCGTTCTCGACACTGTCGCTATAGAAACAGAACAGGAGGATGACATCCCGGAAATGGTGTGTGGATGGGGATGCTCGACTTCCTCACTGCCGAAAGCCCCTCAACCAAAGCGTGTCGTGGGTTTAAGACGGCGAAACCCCCGGGCCATGGCCTCGGAAATTGACACGTCCAAGATGGTTGTCCGTTGTGTGAAGGAAGATTACAACTCAGAGCATCACAAGATTGCGTGGAAGGCCAACGTAGAACCTGGTAC